TTGTATTATTTATAAAAAATGTCTGTTGTGTTTAACCACTCACGACGCTTTTCCGATCCCCCCCCCCCCATCCCCCCCCGGTCTCTGTGCAGGAGCAGAGCCCCAGTAACGCCACATCCCTGGCTATGATGCAGGAGCCACAGGAGGTGGTGGAGGAGACGGTTACCATAGAGGAGGACCCCGGCACCCCCACCTCCCATGTCTCAGTGGTCACCTCTGATGACGGAACTACGCGGCGCACAGAGACCAAGGTGTGACAGAAAGATGGACCATTAGAGAGTAGATTCTTGAACACGTTGTTCGAAATTTTGTTTGACTGGTTGTTAAAACTATTCTTTAAAATGCAGCAGAAAAATTACTTTGAGATAAAACCAACTGTTTTACTTTAGATACCTGTTATTAACCTAAAAGCTGTTGCAGCGGTTCTTCTTGTGGTCTTTCACTCCTGATGAACTCATGGTGGCAAAATTAATGCAATCAGACAACATACTATATTTCAATTTCCAAATGCCTAGTCTCAAGAAATCCCATTATCCTGCTGCCAAAGTGGTTTTAACCCTCTTAGTTTAAAAAAATAAATGTCTAAAATGATATTAGCCATCTTTCTTCCTTCCTCAGTTTTGTGCTTCTTAAAAGCCCCTTTGTCAATATGTCTTCTGATGTTTTTTATTGTTTTCTTTGAAAGGGTATGTCGGCTAATGTGAAGGTGAGTGGACTTTTATATCAATAAAGCTTTCGTCGCAATGCCACCATAAGATACAGCAGCAGTGCACAACGCAGTCTGCATCTTACAAGCTAAATGCATCTTCTGCCATCCTATCTACTCAAATCACTGCTTGCTGCTTTCACCCTTTGAAAAGATCCATCCCCAGGATTACTCTTGGGCTTATTTTTCTTCGTTAAAATTTTACCTACAAATACATCTTATGTATTGTTGCAATGATAAATTATAGCTTTAGTAATACACACGTATTACAAAATATAACAACCTTAAAACCCTTTGGCAAAGAAATGTTTTTAGTTCTCTCATGGCCTGACTATAGAAACTAACTGTGAATATTAGTTGAAATCAACATCAGTAATTTGTAAACGCATGTTTTTAATACTGTCAACAGTCTTCACCCCACTTTAAAATGTCTTAACAAACTGTCTCAATATTTTGTGGGAAAAAAATATTTGAAAATTGTCTGTTTCTCAGAATTCAAAGGTCTTTTCACATGAGTAAACTTTAATGACTCAATATCCATTTACAAGATGTATTTCAGTTTTAACTATACAATTTGGGACAATTTGGGAAAAAATATATATGTGCTGATTTCAGCTCTGAGTTTATTTCTGAGGTGCAGAGAAGAGTCTCTAACAAGATCCACAGATTTCCTTTGAGGGGAAAAGCACTAAAGATGTGGCCTGAAGACTGTAGCGTAATCGAGTTGTATGTCAGATTGCAGCCAACTTTTATAAACCTTGTTAACCTTTGCCCTCTAACCCTAAAGAACACACTACACTGGCCACAAAAACACAAACGGCCTTGTGTGATTGTAGTGATTAGTTTGTCTTGAGTTACCATAAACATGGGGCTGTAATGATCTGGGCTGTTTGGAAAAGAACTGCTGTAAATGTGTTATAAATGACTCGTCTTTAAGTTTCAAAAAGCTGCTCTCACTGTCAGGTGATCCTACACCAACAAAATTGTACGGTATTGAATTTCTGCTTAAAGCATCACACAAAACAGGTTAGAATCCTTTTAGCAAGACATACTCGTATACACAGACAGCATTTCAGCTGTTTGGATGCAAATATGAATGTAATTTACTGTCAGATGTTGCCGTCAGCTTCCACATGAGTGTAGAGCACTGTGTGGTGCTCCAACTCCAGGGACTGTGAGCTGTAATTAAAAAGCCTGGTCTAATCCTTCATCTGGGAGGACCCAATGCCCTCCAGCCTGTTTACTGCCAGCGGATTGGACACGCACACATTTATACACACGCTTGTGTTTTTATGCTTCATGGCACAGAACTTGTTAGGGATAATGCACAGCAGTGCATGCAGCAAAAAGTCCCACTAATCAAGAGCTTTGCCGAGAACCAAGGAGAAAAATGGACGCTTGCTGAGTGGAGCTTTGGGCATTTTCTGGAAGTGACTTTGAGGATGTCAGTCAGATCAATGTCTAGGGTAAACTTCTGGAAACAACCATCCTAGTGGTGGTAAATGGACCCAGCGTTCACAACAATGCACTCAACATTTCATCTTGTCTTGCCTTCTTTTGTTGTCTCTCAGGAGTTCTTTTCTCAGCAGCTCACAGTTTATGTGCGTATCTGTTCTTTTGAACCAAAGTCTTTCAGTACTGTCTATTGCTGTTGCGCCTCTCTTTTGATGGTTATCTTCCATTTAATAGATGATGAAACACTAAAGCTTCTCCCATCTTCCTGGTTTGCAAGCAAAAAAAAAACATTTTTTAAATAAAAAGATCTGATAGTAGTAAACATGTTTCTTGTCATTTAGTTACAACAAAATCCCTGTTTAGAATGCAGAGGTGTGAAGCAAAGAGTGTTAATTGACAGGAAACTGTAAAAAGAAGTATACCTGTTAAAAGCTGTTGCATTTCTAGTTGTGGGTCCAGGGAAACCTTCAGCTGTTGAGTTCTGGTATTGTAGGAATTTTCACACATAATGCTAAAAGACAAGTATGAATGGCCTTTTATGGCTGATTAACTTCTGGTTCATTTGAGTTTTCGGTCAATTCAACTCTGAGTCAGTTGGCAGGACTGTTCAGATGAGTCTATGGGCTCAGTTAGATCCACTTTCATTTTCCTGTCCCAGCATGCCATGCCTTCCCTTAGCCATTGTCCAGCCTTCTTTTGCTGCTGGCAGAGAGTCTGAATGAAACACCAGGCACTTTAGAGTTAGGCCAATAAAAGCAACATCCCCCTCTTTTCCTCCTGATATGAACTAATGACAGTTGAGGTAGACCATAAAAAACTAATAAAAGCAGTTTTACACACTGCACACAGTTGGAAGTCGACCATAAGCATATAAAGTTAGAGTGAGTAAAAATGTTGGGTGCAAAATGCTAGATAATTGTTTGACCCAGTACATTTGTCAAGAAAAATAAAGTTTCTGTGTTCATTAGAACAAAACGAGTACATATATATATAAATAAATAAATAAATAAATAAATATATATCTATCTATATATATATATATATATATATATATATATATATATATATATATATATGGATAGATAGATATAGATGGATAGATAGATAGATAGATAGATAGATAGATATGTGTGTATACATAGTGCATCACTTGTTTAAAAAAATAATGGATTAGTTAACTGTTTGAGTGCAGAAAGAAAAAGAAAAAGAAACACATGGTGAATGAATTGGGTATAAAACAGTTCTTTTCCATCCGTCCAATTCCAAGTTACCAAAGTGATGTAAACCATAGCCCACTGCTCGTACCATCCAGCAATAGTGGATTTCAGGACTACCATTATGAACCCCACTCCAGTCTCAGACCCCACCCTACATGAGACAGATCCAGTACCATCTGTGGTTTTGGTGTGGCTTGCTTTCCCTCTTCCTTGCCCACACTTTGGCTCTTCTAACACCAACTTTTATGAAACCTGAATAATAACAAAGTCAATAATCCAGGTATACAATACAACATTTTTCAGTCAGGTCATCTGGACAGTTTCTTTCTTTTTTTTTTTTTTTTTGCTGAAACGTTTCACCTTCGGTCCGGAAGGCTTCATCAGTCAAGGAAACACACAACAAAACTGATTCTTCCCCCAACAGCTTAATCCAAAGTGGAACAAACCAGTTCTGCTTGTGATAAGATGGTCTCTTTGGTACGCCCCCTCCTCCATTGCCGGCCCTCGGTGTTTCCTTGACTGATGAAGCCTTCCTGACCGAAGGCAAAACGTTTCAGCACAAAAAAAAAAGAAACTGTCCAGATGACCTGACTAAAAAATGTTGGAACCCTGAATAATAATTAAAAAAAACTTTTTTTTTTCTTTTTTAAATTTTATAATACTGTATTTACAGATGTTCTTTAGGCTGACTGGAAATCAGTGACAGGTTTCATCCAAGGCTTAACAGCATGGATTAGTCTGCATCCATTTCCAAACAGTCCACTCTTCAAGTCTGTTTAAGCTATCAATAAGTGAAACTTTGTTCAGTGATTTAAATGGATCAGTTTGATGCCTGCTGCCTTCCCCTTCTTGTTTTAACAGCTTGGTAAGCGATTAAGGACTGTGTCTAACTTCCCGTGGTTGGTTGAAACAGTTTTTAGTGTTGGTGTGACTTTCCATGCATGTGTAAATACATAGAAGTTGGTGGAATTGCTAGTTTTGCACATAATTACTCACCACCAATTCAGCAATTCTGTTTCAACCCTGTTTACCCCACTTCAGCATATTTCAGGTTCCTCTGAAAACCAGGTTCCTTGTCATCCCTCGTCTCCCTTTGCGTGACGGTTTAACGCCTTGTGAACTCGAGCGTACATCAAAGAGTGTTTGAAACTGAGTGATGGATTTTTTTGCAGCCTTTGCAGATTGACTAAAGTGCTGTGATTGTACAAGCCAGCCTGGCATGTCAAGGCTGGGAAGCTGTAGCATTCTCCAAACCTTCCTCACAATTTTTGACAGCCCCAATAAAGTGGAATAAAATATGTTGATTAACAAACAGTATATTTTATGAACATACAGTGCCTTGCAAAAGTATTCAGCCCCCTTCAACTTTTCAAACTTTTGCCACATTTCAGGCTTCAAACATAAAGATAAAAAGTTTAAATTTTTTGTGAAGGATCAACAACAAGTGGGACACAATCGTGAAGTGGAATGAAATTTATTGGATGTGTCAAACTTTTTTAACAAATAAAAAACTGAAAAGTGGGGCATGCAATATTATTCGTCCCCCTTGTGTTAATACTTTGTAGCTCCGCCTTTTGCTGCAGTTCCAGCTGCAAGTCTCTTGGGGTTTGTCTCTATCAGTTTTGCACATGGAGAGACTGAAATTCTTGCACATTCTTCCTGCAAAACAGCTCGAGCTCAGTGAGGTTGGATGGAGAGTGTTTGTGAACAGCAGTCTTCAGCTCTTTCCACAGATTCTCGATTGGATTCAGGTCTGGACTTTGACTTGGCCATTCCAACACCTGGATACGTTTATTTGTGAACCATTCCATTGTAGATGTGTCTTTATGTTTTGGATCATTGTCTTGTTGGAAGATAAATCTCCATCCCAGTC